CATCATCATTATAAAGTTACCTTGAAATTTTGTTTTGATTTTTTTCACCATGTTCCAAAAAAAAAACTTATTTTTTTTAAATAGATTTTTGCTGTTATCTTTGTTGATTCTCTCATTTTGTTTGTTTGTTTGTGTGGATTTATTCGCAACGACCGTATTATATCAACATTCAGAAAGAAAAGAAAAATGAAAGTTGAATAGATAAATATGATATGAAAACTATAAAAGGTAGATTATTATAATGATAATCAAAAAGTCTGCTTTGACAATTTCAAAATCAAAATCAAATAAACCCAATACAGTTATTATTAGGATCAGGGTTTTCTTTTCTTTTTTCTTTTATTAAATGGATCCATAACGATCTCTGTACATTTCAAACAATGAATTTTTTTTCAGGTAAAGAAAACATAGACCGTTTCGTTGTTGTTGTTGTTGTTCCATTACAATTCGTATTGCAATAGGAAAAACAACAACAACAACAATATGGATGGATGAAACGCCATAGAAAACAACAAACAGCAAACGATACGCATCAAAGTTTTTTTCTGTTATCTCAATATGGATCACATGAAACATTCTTAATTTTCTTTTTTTTTTTGTAAAAGAAGAAGAAAAAAAAATACAATGTTAAAAAAACCGTATGCAATCATATATATATGGATCAATATGTGGATAAATCTAACAACAACAAACAACAAAAAAGCTTATGGAAACATCATAATGTTTTTTTTTTGTTTTTGTTATGGATTAAATGTTTNATACACACACATAACGTAAATACAGACAACTTGAATAGAAAACAACGCAAAACAAAATCTTTGCCAACAAAAACCAAATGCAAAAAGAAAAAGTGAAAACCACCCCCCAAAAAGAAAAAGCTAAATTCATTATGATGGATATAAATATAAAATAAAGAAACAATTTTCCCCGTCCAGATGATACATGGATGATCCAGATGATCACATCATACATTTTTGAAAATGATATCCCCTTAACACTTAGTTTATGATGTATCCATTGATCTTTTGCCTTTTGTTTCATATATTTGTATATAAGAATCGCGTTAACGTCAAACACGTGAATAATAATGTTTGTTTCAAATAATAAACCATTTCAATATTGACAAGTGGTTATTTTAGGCAATTTTACCAGTAGCCACTGTCACAAATGTAATTTACTGCATAGACCCACCCACCCACATGCATCAAAAAGGAATTTTTGTTGCTTGTTTGGTTTTTAGCATCTTGTCATCAATGTTCGTTGTCCATATGGATTTTTCTTTCTTTTCCTTGACTGATGAACATTTCCACAAAAAAAAAGAAAGATCAAAGTTCATTCGTATAGGAATATTTACAGTTTTTTTCATCATCATTGAGAGGTTTGTTGTTAATAATGAATTCCACAAGTGTTTTAGATGAACAAGAAAACGATGCAATCATTCTTTTGTTTTCTTGGCATGTTGGCCAAATTTATTTTTTTTTTTCGAAAACAAAAACGTCTTCCTGTGTTTCGAATAGAATGTTTATGTTTTTGTTGTTTTTGGGTTTTTAAAATGTTTTTTTCCATCAAAAATAACTAATATTGGAAATGAATCAAAAAAAAAAAAAAAATTCAATTCATAAACATTGAAAAACAACCGAAGAGCGATTTTTTCTTTTCAGATTCTGAATTCAAACCGAAAAGAAAAAAAATTATATTCGAAATGATATTTTTGATCAAAAGATGGCAGCAATGATCATGTAGAATTTCTTCAAAGATTCGATTTTTTTCAAAAAAAAATGACAAAAAAAGTCAACAATTTCTTTTTATGGATCACAACAAAAAAAAATGATTTTTTATCTAAAAAATGTACTTTTTTATGATCAATTTTGTTGTTGTTGTTAAAAATGATTATATAATGATGATCTGAATGAAAATAGAAAATATAGAAAATTTTGAACAACAACAACAAAAAAAAAATCAAAATCAAAACGAAATGCCATCATCATCATTATAAAGTTACCTTGAAATTTTGTTTTGATTTTTTTCACCATGTTCCAAAAAAAAAACTTATTTTTTTTAAATAGATTTTTTGCTGTTATCTTTGTTGATTCTCTCATTTTGTTTGTTTGTTTGTTTGTTTGTTTGTGTGTATTTCGATTTATTCGCAACGACCGTATTATATCAACATTCAGTGAAAAGAAAAATGAAAATGAAAGTTGAATAGATAAATATGATAAAAGGTAGATTATTATAATGATAATCAAAAAAAAAGCTGCAAACAAAAATCTGCTTTGACAATTTCAAAATCAAATAAACCAATACAGTTATTATGTATTATTAGGATCAGGGTTTTTTTTTCGTTGTTATGAATAATGGATCCATAACGATCTCTGTACATTTCAAACAATGAATTTTCAAAAATCAAAAAAAAAAAAATATTTTTTTCAGGTAAGACTGTTTCGCTATTACATTGCAATAGGAAAAACAACAACAACAAGATGGATGGATGAAAACAGCCATAGAAAACAACAAACAGCAAACGATACGCATCAAAGTTTTTTTTGTTTCTGTTATCTCAATATGGATCACATGAAACATTCTTAATTTTCTTTTTTTTTGCAAAAGAAGAAGAAAAAAAAAATACAATGTAAAAAAACCGTATGCAATCATATTATATGGATCAATATGTGGATAAATTTAACAACAACAAACAACAAAAAAGCTTATGGAAACATCATAATGTTTTTTTTTTGTTTTTTGTTTTTGTTATGGATTAAATGTTTGTTATCAAGCATTTTTATCATTAATGATCATCATTAATGAAGATGATGATTACACAATCTCAACCCAATCATAATGAATGTCCATCGTTTATTATTTCCTCCCCTCTCTTTCCTTGATTATTCAAATGAAAATGATTGGATTCTCGAACGAAAAAAAAATGATATTCCGGTATGAATGATCCGGGTAGAATTCTTAAAGATCAATGGCTACTATCAAAATTTTTTTGTTTGTTTTTTTGAAAGAATTTTTCTATGATTACAAAAAAACATGGCATAAAATTTTAATGACGATTTCGATTCGAACAAAAAGCAAAAACAAAACATAAGGGATCCTATGTGATTGACCTCTTTCGCTTGCTTGTTCTCTCATGGATTCTCTCTGTCGATGTGTGTGTTTTTCAATGGTGGCTATAAATAAATAAAAATGGTTGATCGGTTCGTGAGTACGTGCATAATTTTTTTGTTTTTTTTTTGAAATGAAAATTCATAAAGAAGAGAATGAAAAGAGAGAAAGTAGTTCCAATGTAATTTTCTATTTGGTGTTTGACACAGTAACCTCAAACTTGGAACTTGGAACAATGATCATAATAATAATAACAACAACAACATCATTATCATCATTATTATCAGGCAAAATAGTCGTTTGCCCACCATAAACAAGTGAGTGAGAGTGAGAGAAAATAGTAACAGTTTCAAATGGAACGAAATGAAATGAAAAAAAAACGTTCAGGGACAATCGAAAAAACAACAACAACAAACAAATTGTGTAGATGATGATGATAATAATAAAAATAGTAGCCGAAAAAAATGGAAATTTAATGATGATTTTAATCGAAATGAATCGATTTTTTTTGTTTGAATTGGATTTTGTTTCTTTCCTGACATCATTGGATCAATATATTTCACCACCACCATCATTGTTGATTTGAAAAACAGGCACGAATATTTGAATTTGAAAATCGTATTTCGTGAAAAAAACCAAACCAAACCAAACCAAAATCCATTTCATTCACACATTCGCGAATAGTGAAGAAAAAAAAGGTCAAGTTCGAAGTCAACGAAGCATTACTTACTTACTTTTTTTTCGATGAATGAATGTTTTTGAACATTTTGATTTTCATATTATTATTATTTTTAGTTATTTTTTTCCTCGCTCACTCAAACAAACAAACAAACAAAAAATCATCCTTAATCTTTGTTTTGGATCGGTTATTTATTTTTATAAATAAAATCAATTCACCGAAAAAACAAACAAAGATTTTCATTAATTGCATAATCAAAATCAAAATCTGGTCATTTCCATCTCGAATTAAAAGATTTATTGATGTGATCCTTTCATATATGAATGGTTCATCTGGAACAAATGGAACGTTCGAATATTCGAATGTTCGAACATTCGAATTTTCAAACATTCGAAATCTTTTGGGTTTCATTTTTTTTTTTTTTTTTTTTTGGTTCAATTTTTAATGTTTTTTAAAAAATTTTTTTTTTTTTTTTTAACCCAAAAAAAACCAAAAATTTT